CCTTCTCTCGCCAGGGAACTTGAGGACTATATGAGCGACCGGGTCCAGTTTGTGATCACAGCACAGGAGTGGGACCCCAGTTTTGAGGAGGTGAGTTCCAGCAGGGCAGGGAAAGGGCCACCCAACCCGCCCTTGTGTCCCCTCCGTCCCCTCCTCACTCACATGTTCCCATGTGCACCCCACTCCACCCTGCAGGCCCTGATGGACAACCCCTCCTTGGTGTTTGTCCGCCCCCGATGGATCTACAGTTGCAACGAGAAGCAGAAGTTACTTCCCCACCAGCTTTATGGGGTGGTGCCCCAGGCCTAAAGTATGAGCCTGCGTGTGTGTGCACGCGTGTACTCAGGCGCACACACACCCATGTGCGCACACACACAAGATGAGCTTAATAAAGGTGACCTGTTTGGAACAGCTGGCCCTCTGTCTTACTTGGAAGTCTCCCAGAGGCTCCCAGCTTTCTGTCTTATGTTTGGTTTCTCCTTCCCTCTGAGGGCCAGGTGTCTCGGCCACCTTGAGACTCCCGTCCTGGGGTCCTGGAGAGTACGAGTAGCTCTCCATCAGGGGGTTGGTCGGGAAGAAGCTCTTTGTTACTTCTCCCTGGCCGTTTACCCCTATGGTGGCAGGGAATTGAAGTTCTGAACCTCTGAGCCCATTCCTGGGTCTTGTTTGTCCCTCGTGGGCCCTGGGCTGGAGGCCCGGGTGCTCATGAGGTATGCCTTTCTCTTGAAGTCCGTCTCAGCCCCCCCGGGCCAGGGACATCTCCCTTTCTCAGGGCTTTCAGAAGTGGCCGTATAACTGTCACCAGGATGTTTTACATTACCTCATTTGGGAAGTAAAATAGGGGAAGGGGCATTTTAATCAACCCACCCAAATCCTGGACCCCCTTCAAGCCTGCACCACATTTAAGTTGGGAACTGAGAGTGTGTTAGAGAATCTGGGCAGAAGCTGGGATGGCGTTCTGGGCAGAGGCCATGGTGTGGGCCAAGGCCAGGACATGGGAACAAGCCTGGCTCCCCAGGGGCAGTTGCTTAAGAGACTTTAAGGGCAGATCTGTCTGGAAGGGTGGACGTAGCCCTTGCAGCTGTGCTGTCTAACGCGGATACAGGTAGCTATTTAAATGAACTGCACTGAAAGGAAAGGAAAAATTTACTTCCTTGGCCACACTGGCCACACTTCAAGTGCTCAGTGGCTGCTGTAGTAGAGCGTACAGATAGAGAACAGTGACATCACTGCAGAAAACAAGAGGACAGGGCTGTCCCGAAGGTCTGTGAACGCCAGGTCGAAAAGCTTGGACATTATCCTGTGGCCAGGGAGGTCAGGAAGGGGTCTGAGCAGAGCAAAGGGCAGTCAGAGGTAACAAATTAGCCCGAACCCGGTGTCTTAAAACAACAGAAATGTAGAACCTTCCAGGTCTGGAGGTCTGAAGTCCAAAACGGGTCTTACTGGGCTAAAACTCAGGATGTAGGCAGGGCCGTGTTCCTTCTGGAAGCTCTGGGGAAAATCTGCTTCCTTGTCTTTTCCCCAAATCCCCGATTCCCCTTCTGTATTCAAAGCCAGCAGTGGCAAGGGGAGTCTTTCACATCACCCTGACGTTGACTCTTCTGACTCCTGCCACCTTTAAAAGATCCTCGTGTTTACCTCGAGACCACCTGGATACTCTGGGATAATCTCCATGTTTTAAAGTCAGCCAATTAGCAACTTTGATTTCTTCAACCGTAATTCCCCTTTGCCACGTAGCATATTGGCGGGTTCCAGGGATTAGGACTCGGATGTCTTTGGAAGCCATTGTTCTGCCCACCGCGCCCGCTATGGGTGGGGCCGTGGAACTGCAGTGTGAAAAACAGATGAGGCCCCACTCACGGGGTGACATTCCTCTGGGAGAGAGACTGCAGCACTGAGCAGTGATAAACGTGTGAGGCAGATAACGCAGGGCAGTGTTACAGTGATGGGCAGGGTGGCGTGGTTTAGATAAGGTCAGCGGGGGAGGCATCTCAAGGGACTGATTCCTCTGCAGGAAGAATTCCTCTGCAGTGAGAAGTAGGGGAGGTCTGGAAAAGCAAGTGCAAAGGCCCTCGGGCAAGAGCTGGCCTGAGCTATACACTCGATCCACCCTGGCTCATCAGGTCCCGGCCTGCTGGCCTTGTTTGGGGACAGGCAAATCCCATCTCTCCGGGCCTCTTTCCCCACCTGTACAATGACGTTTAGACCAGAGATCAACACCCCTCAGGTGCGTTTGCGTTCCTGAAACTTGGACGGTGGTGTGGTTGCTGCGGAGGGCATCTTCCAGAACAGCTCTGTGTGTAAACATTGATACAAACCGCACTTCCGGGTGTGGAAGGACTTGAATCCTCACCCTCGCCCACCCCTCCCCCAAGGCTTTGCTGAGTGGACTGTGGTCTGGCGGCCTGCTAATTTGCACTTGCCTGCTCCGTCCTACCCCTTATGCTGGATACTTCCACAAAGCATCTCTCATTCCATCCACACGTTTTGGATCTGAACTCAAACACTCCCTCCTCAAACATATCTTTTCTAACCGTCTATATAATAGTATGTGCTAGGGGCGCCTGGGTGGCTCAGTCGGTTAAGCAGCCGACTTCGGCTCAGGTCACGATCTCACAGTCCGTGAGTTCGAGCCCCACATCGGGCTCTGTGCTGACAGCTCGGAGCCCGGAGCCTGCTTCAGATTCTGTGTCTCCCTCTCTCTCTGACCCTCCCTCGTTCATGCTCTGTCTCTCTCTGTCTCAAAAATAAATAAACATTAAAAAAAATAAAAAAAAATAGTATGTGCTAGGTATATATCCACTCTTCTTGTATCTCTTGACATAGTTGTCACTTGATTTATGGTCGAATTTACCAGTCTTTTCCTCTACGATGTGCATTTCTCGTGTCGTACGGATTCCTTCTGTACCTCTGAGGTTACTACGATATTCTCCTTTATTGTTTCCGTCTGTTTTGCTTTCCCAACTTAAATCTTAACTCACCAGAAACTTATTTTTGTGTACGGTATGAGACCGGGATCTGTAAGGTTCCTGTTGCTGCTGTAGCAAACTATCCCAAGCTTAGGGGCCTCAAACAACACACATTTATTTTCTTACAGTTCTGCAGGTCAGTGGTAGTCCAATGTCCGTCTCAGTGGGCTAAAATCATGGTGTGCAAGGCTGTGTGCCTTCCGGGGAGGATCCATTTCCTTTTTCTAGTGTCTACAGGCTGCCTGAACTCCTTGCCCCATGGCCCTACATCCCTCCAGTCTCTGCTCCCGTTGTCACATGGCCTCTGACTCTTCTGCTTCCCTCTTTCCCGTAGAAGGACGCCTCTGGTTATGTTGGGTGGGGGGGCTGGAATAATCAGGATAACCTCCCCATCTCAAGGGGATAGATAATCTCCCTCCTTTAAAGTCAGCCGATTAGCAACTTTGATTCCTTCATCCAGAATTCTCCTTCGCCCCATAGCATATTTGTGGGTTTCAGGGACTAGGGACTGAACGTCTTTGGGGGGCCAGGATTCTGCCTAACCACGCCCAAGATCCTTAATCACATCTGCAAAGTCCCGTCTGCCATGTGTAAACTAACATGCTCCCGTCCTGGGGATTAGGACGTGGACCTCTTTGGGGGACCGTTATTGTGCCTCCACAGGGTCCCACTTGGGTTTTTTTCCCCGTACCTCCCAGCTGGTTCACAGATTAGCCTGTCCTTTCCCCACTCACTGACAGCAGAGATCCGCAAACGACATCCCATGGGCAACACCCAGCCCACCTACTATTTCTGCAGAGTTTTACTGGACCACAGCCACACTCATTCACCCACGTATCATAACGTGTACAGCTGCTTTTGTACCACAGCGTCAGAGGCGGGGTAGTCGTAGCAGACACCGTGGCCTACAAAACCTACAAACACATACTGTCAGGCCCTCACGGACATGTGGGGATTGTCACTAGTCAGGACCCCCGGTAAGCACAGGTCTGTTTCTGAGCTCCTGGTTCTCTTTCACTGGCCTGTTCCCAAGCCCATGCCACGGATGTCATTCATTGAATGGCGTCTTTGGCCATGTCAACATTGAAATAATTCTTGGTGGTGGCTGCCTCCCCTAACCCCCCCCCCGCCCCGCCCCTCTTTAGGTTTTTTTTTTTTTTTTCTTTTCTTTTCTTGGTCCCTACTTGATTAGTGCCCGCTTCCCTCACTAGACCAGGCTTGTCTTGTTCACTGGTGTGTTCCTACCACCCTGGGCAGGGGCCAGCACACTGTGGGCACTTAATACACATCTGAAGAGTGAGGGGCAGCTCCAGGTTAGCTCAGTCATTCTTACTTTATAGCAGGAGAAACAGGCTTCAGGAGGGAAGTGACTGCCAGAGATGATGCCTACGTCCTTATAAAGGCCTTATAACACTCCCATGTTCTAGAGAAGGCATCTGACTCCAGAGAAGGGTCAAAGCTTGTCCAAGGTCCCCCAGTAGTGGGTCAGGGCTGGCTCTAAAGCTTGAGCTTTAAAAAAAATTTATACTGGGGTACCTGGGTGGCTCAGTCGGTTGAGTGTGTCCGACTTCGGCTCAGCTCAGGTCGTGATCTTGAGGTTCAGGAGTTCGGGCCCTGCATCAGGCTCGCTGATGTCAGCCTGTCAGCACAGAGCCTGCTTCAGATCCCGTGTCTCCCTCTCTGTGCCCCTCCCCTGCTTGTGACCTCCCCAAAAATAAATATTTAAATTTTTTTTTTTTTACTCTTGGTAGTATACCCTTTGTTCTTGCTTTCACTATTTAGTATATTTAGGGACTCTTTCCCCATCTATACAAATAGACTTTTTTTTTTTCTCCTACAGCAACATAGTCCATTCTGTGGCCCTACGGGAATTTATTAGCTGGTCCCCTACCAGTGGGCACTTGGATGGTTTCCCGTCTTTGGCCACAACCATCCCACTGTGGACATCCTTACCCTTACGCCTATTTCAACGTGCTGAGTTTATCTACAGGATAAGTTCCTAGAAGTGGAATAGTTGACACGACCATGTGTGCATTTAAAATTTTTTATAGATACAGTCAAAACGGCCAAAATGCAGGCACCAATTTAACTCACAATAAGGAGAGACCCTGTTTCCCCACATTCCTCACCAACCCCCGGTGCTAGCAGACTTTTTACTTTCGCCTTATGAATAGGAGGGAAAAAACCGGAGCCAGGACTTGCTTTCAACCCACAGCTCCAAACCCATAGTTTGGGGCCCAGTGCTAACTATGGGTGACACCTTTCCCTTCCCCAAACAGGTGAGCAGAAGTCCTCAGCCCGGTAAGTTTGAGCCCAGCGTGGAGCAGAGGCAAGTCCATACAGCCCAGCTTAGAAATGCCACCTCTTCATTGACCTGGGCTGGCGGCAGGGGGCGCTGTGAGCCAAGGGGAGGGCTCACTCGCGCTCCCCCTGGCTCTCAGCCTGGTGGTGGCTGCTGCGTTGGTGAAGGAGCAGGAGGCGTCTTTGGCCAAAGGCCTGATGGCAGCTGGAGCAGCGATGCCGGGCCGTGGCCTGGCTGCCCGGCGCCGTGGGGGGGTCATGACACAGGCGATGGGCGGCCAGTTTGGAGGGGAAGGAAAAAGCCTTGGGGCAGTGCGGGCAAGGATAAGGGCGGGCGTCGGTGGCGTGGTGGGTGTGGCGGTGGGCTGCGAGCTTGGAGGGGTAGCAGAAGGACTTGGGGCAGTCCGGGCACGGGTAGGGGCGGGCAGGCGCGTGGGTCCAGAGGTGGGCGGCCAGCTTGGAGCGGTGGCCAAAGGCTTTGGGGCAGTGTGGGCACGGGTGCGGGCGGGCACCACTGTGCGTGAGGCGGTGAGCTGCCAGCTTGGAGGGGTAGGAGAAGGCCTTGGGGCAATCGGGGCACGGATGCGGGCGGGCGCCGCCATGTGCCAGCCGGTGCGTGGCCAGCTTGGACGGGTACGAGAAGGCCTTGTCACAGTCGGGGCAGCGGTGCGGGCGCTGGGGCGGGGGCCGCCGGCGGGGTCGAGAAGGCGCCCCCGCGGACGTGGCAGGCCCGGGAACCGACTGGCTGGGCTTCTGCGGCGAGCCCTGGTGGGGAGCTACAGGACAGGAGGGCGGGTGGGCTCCAGGCATCAGCCAACAACCTGAATTTAGGCCAGGCTTCCCTCCCCCGCCCCCCACCCCGTCCCAGCCTTGATACTTGGAGTGTATCTGGACACTCAAGGGTCATACTGAGATTCCTCAAATGATCATCCTAAGGGGCTCCAAAGGATTACGGAGCTGGAACCCCAAAGCGACTAAGATGTTCGTTTCTAGTACATTCCCAAGTGATCACCCTGAAATTCCACATATCACCCCCCCTGACCCTCCTTGAATTTTCTGAGCCCCAAAAATGATCACTGAATTTCCCCAACGCCAAATAGTACGATTCCCCAGAACGCGATTCGGAGCAACCCAAATGGCCATCACCCTAGGCCTTCAAACTTTCGCCCTGAGATTCCCTCAAAATGTGATTCTCTTGGCCCCAATTCCTGTAGAGTGCCCCCCACTCACAGGCGGGACTGCTCTCACCTCCTCCTTTGGTTATAGGTTCCTTGCCGGTGGGACTAGGATCCGTGTCCCCGGCCGCGGACTCCGCATCTCGTTCCAGCATCTTGCTGGCCCAGGAACCCAGAGGGAGCTAGGCCACGCCGGTGATGATCAGGCTGATGGGGATAGGCTATAGGGCCTAAAATCACGGACCAGTGTTTTAGGAGCGAGATCTTAAGTCTGGAATCCAAAGGCAGGGCAGGTGTTGCTTGCGGGCCGGCGGAGCCTAAAAGCACAACTAGCGGGGGTTTATGCAAACGTGACCCTTTGCAACTTAGACCCAGGCTTGGAGCCCTTGAACGGAGTGGGCGAGGCCTCTACAACTTAAACTCTGGGGCTGTCCTGAGCGCAGAGCTGCCGAAGCCTGGATCCACAGTGGGCGGGACCTCCCCCCATTAGAACCTCCCAGCAGTGGAAACTAAGCCGGGAAAGGGCGGGGCCATATAAATACGCTCCAAAGCCACTCAGACCCAGGGGAGGGGCCTTCCAGCGGGGTGGGCGGGTCTTTTACAACTCTGTCCCAGGGGAGGGGCCTGAGCTCAGTGGGCGGGATTCACCTCCAATAGGTAGCTTTACCGGAGTCGCGGTTTAGTCTCAGTCCATGGACGCCGCGTGAACTGCTTCCTTCTTGTTGCTAAATTTCATCCCCAGCGTGGAGGGTAGAGGGGAGACCTGGAGGGAGATGCAGAAAGAATGTGGCCTGTCTTGCGATTAAGAGACGCCTAATGGATTTCTCCTTCGGGGTCCCAGGCGTCCGGGCCTCAGTGCACCCCTCGGAATCATGGCATTCGGGCACCAGTGCACCCTACCAAGGCTCAGGCACCAATGCAGTCCCTCCGGAACCTATGCATCAGGACTCCAATCGATTCTTTTCCGGGAGATCCTGGCGTCCAGCCCCCAATCCACTTCCCGAAGACCCAGACATCCAGGCCCGGACCCGAGCCCGGCTCACCTGCGGAAGGCCCCTCCCCGGGGGCGGGGCTCCGGGCCCCTCCCTCAGCGGCCGCTGCAGCTGCTGCGCTGCCCTCGGACGCGGCGGAGCTGCACCTCCCGACGCGCGCCCAGCGACGGGAGGGGAGGGAGGGTGCGCGAGTTGCTCTGCCCAGCCTCATTTCCATCCACTCCTCCCACGCGGGGCCCGGTGGGGGCGTCAGTACGCATGCGCAGTCGCGGGCAGCTGAGGCTGCCGCGGGAGAAGAAATCGAAGGGGTGGGTGCGCGAGGCAGGCAAGTTGGTGAGCAAGCGCGGAGCTAGTCTAAGGGCTATAGGAAAGTGTACTGCGGCTTGCGGGGCCTACGGTGGCTGAGTGGAGTCAAGCACGTGCAGGACCTAACTCGGGGAAACTGGGTTTAGAGATCACTGAGACACTGCCCAGCATAGGCGCCTTCCCTCTCTGTGTCCCCCTTCCTTTCGAGAATTCGTTGGGAGCCTGAGTTCACTCTCCGGAGGGAATTGCAAGAAACGTCTGCCCAAGGCTTTTGCAAAGAAGTCAGGCCAATTTTTCGTGAGTGGGCGGGGTGAGACTCCAGGTTCAGAGAGAGCTGAGGTCCAATAAAAAATGTGTTATTTGCATAGGCCCCCGGCACCCTTCGCCATTGGGTGATTCAAGAATCTCAGCCCCTCCCACCCCAATGCCCCGGCCCAGATGTGGTAAGGGGAGGGGGACGGCGGTTCCCGAAATATCCCAGCGGGAGTTCTTGGGAGGGTTGGATCTCCTGGTGCCAGGCCCTGGGTGCCACGCTTGGCATCCTTCCCCGGGCCATGACGGTGCACTTTCCCGCCCAGCACGGGAATGACCGTGAAGTGCCCATAAAAATGCCCTGCATGGGTGGGTCTTCAGTGTGATAAGGTCTGGCGAGTCCTGGGAGCCCTGGGTGTTAGGTGTAGGGTTATTCGAACTCTGGAGCCGGATTGCCTGGGTAACCAGTTTGGAATCTTGTCTTGGCCACTTTCTATCTGTGTAACCTTGGCCAAGTCCCTTCATCTTTCTGGGATGTTAGGATTAAATTCAGTAATCAATGGAAAGTTTAGACCAGTGCCTACAGTGCTCAATGCATGTTACCAATATTACTTTTTGTTTTTATTGTGCATTGAAATAGGCCATGATAGAATCAAAGTTGTCCCAGAATAGCAAGTTCAGAGAGCTCAAGGTGGGAAGGAACATGCTGCGTTCAGGGGATCTTTCCTACCTCCATCCTCCAAACTCACCTTCTTTCCAGGGCTGGTACATCCCATGGTCCATCCTACTTCAGGGCTTCTGCACTAGCGGTTCCCTATGTCCTCCCCCAAGGTCATTCCTCCATCAACATATTTGTCTGACTCCCCACTCTGATCTCATTTCAAATATTACCACTGCAGAAGGCCTCCCCTGTCCACCGTAGCTCATGGTGCTCCCTTCCCTTCATTATTCTGTTTGTCACATCTCCCTGGTGGGCACTTAATACAGTATTCCTGTCCTCTAGAATGTATTCCCTGTTAAGATGAACAACTTGTCTGCCTTGTTCACCCTCTGTCCAGAACAGGGTAGGTGCCCAATAAATCTGTATCAAATAAACGCTGGAAAGGATTAAAGCCAGAAGTTCTCTGTGATGAGTAGATAGACGTTGAGGACAATACAGAACTTGAGGTCAAGGAATTAGAAAGGTCTAGCTGAGTGGGAAACCAAGGAAGGGTTTTAAATATGGGAAGTGGCATGAACTAGTTTAGGTCTTCATATTCTCTCTCTCTCTCTCTCTCTCTCTCTCTCTCTCTCTCTCTCTCTCTTTTTAAAGTAGGTTCCATGCCCAGTGTGGACTACAACATGGGGCTTGAACTCATGACCCTGAGATCAAGACCTGAACTGAGATCAACAGTCAAGCGCTTAACCAACTGAGCCACCCAGGGGCCTCAATATACTCTTTTTTAGAAAATTGTTTTAGTTTATGGAAAATTTCAAACATGACCAAAAGAAAGGAAGGGGAAGAGTATAACCAGCCCCTCACCAATCCATCACCCACATGACCAATTTTGTTCCATCATCCCCTCCCCCATTAAGTCCCTTGAGTTATTTTGAAGTAAATTCCACACATTTCATCCAGAAACACTTAAAACTGTGTTCCTAAAAAAATAAGGACTCTCTCTCTTTGAAACACAACTAAAATATCATTATCACAACTTTCAAACTTTAGAGTCATTTCTTTTTACTTTATTATTATATTTTTTAATGTTCATTTATTTTTGAGAGATGGAGAGCGACAGAGAACGAGCAGGGAGGAGCAGAGACAGAGGGAGACACAGAATCCGAAGCAGGCTCCAGGCTCTGAGCTGTCAGTACAGAGCCTCACGTGGGGCTTGAACCCACAAACTGTGAGATCATGCCCTGAGCCAAAGTCAGACCCTTAACCGACTGGGTCACCCAGACGCCCCAAGAGTCATTTCTTCACATTATCACATTTCTGCGATTGTCCCCTGCATATCTTGCTTTTCATTTTTAAGAACAATGTTTTATTTCAAACATACAGAAAGCGTGAGAATATAATTGTTTTTTTTTTAATTTTTTTAAATGTTTTTATTTATTTTTGAGACAGAGAGAGACAGAGCATGAGCAGGGGAGAGGCAGAGAAAGAGAGGGAGACACAGAATCTGAAGCAGGCTCCAGGCTCCGAGCTGTCAGCACAGAGCCCGACGCGGGGCTCGAACTCATGGAGTGTGAGATCATGACCTGAGCTGAAGTCGGACGCTCAACCAACTGCGCCACCCAGGCGCCCCTAGAATTGTTAATAATAGAAGTGGCTGGCATCAGCAATTATCTATTGATGGCCAATGTTTCATTCCCCCACCCACTCCTCCCAGATGATTTTGAAGCTATATGCCGGACATTATATCCCATAAATATCTTTTTATTTTTATCTTTTTATCTTGTTGCATCTGCATCCGAATTTAAACAAGCTCCACATATTGTGTTTGTTTTCTGTGATTCTTTAATCTGTCATTGGCATTTTATTTTATTTATTTTTTAATTGTTTGATGTTTACTTATTTTTGACAGAGCGGGGCAGGGGCAGAGAGAGGGGGAGACGCAGAATCTGAAGCAGGCTCCAGGCTCTGAGCTGTCAAGGCACAGCCTGATGCGGAGCTCACGAGCTATATCATGACCTGAGCGGAAGTCAGGCGCCTACCTGACTGAGCCACCCAGGCGCCTCTTTTGACTTTTTTTTACATTTATTTATTTTTGAGACAGAGAGAGACAGAGCATGAGCAGGGGAGGGGCAGAGAGAGAGCGAGACACAGAATCTGAAGCAGGCTCCAGGCTCTGAGCTGTCAGCACAGAGCCCGATGCGGGGCTCGAACTCACAGACTGTGAGATCATGACCTGAGCTGAAGTCGGACACTTAACCGACTGAGCCACCCAGGCGCCCTAGTTAGCACTTCTTATATACCTGAAACTATCGTGAGTGCTTGGTATACGTTCTTTCATTTCATCCTGAAAGCAAGTTTTTAAGAGGAGGCGATACTATTATCCCCATTGTACAGAAAAAGGAAAATGAGGCACAAGGAGGGAGGTCACTTATTCAAGGTCACACAGGGTCAGGGTCAGGATTTAAACTCCTGCAGCCAGGCCCTGGAACCCACGTAATTTGCATTTATGCTTTGCTGCCTCTCGACTGGGGCTGAGGGCGTGATGGTGGAGAAGTGGCCTGATTGGAGAGGTTAACTTAACAGAGCCTAGATAGGGGTACCTGGGTGGCTCAGTTGGTTAAGCATCCGACTTAGGCTCAGATCACATGATCTCACGGTTCATGCGTTTGAGCCCCGCATCAGTCTCTGTGCTGACAGCCCAGAGCCTGGAGCTGCTTCAGATTGTCTCCCTCTCTCTCTGCCCCTCCCCCCACTCGCACTCTGTCTTGTCTCTCTCTCTGTCTCTCTCTCTCTCAAAAATAAATAAACATAAAAAAATTTAAAACAGGGCCTAGTGATGAATTGGAAGGAGTTGAGGATGGTGATGAAATCACAATAATGGTTTTGTTCTGTGCCAGGCGCTCTCCCAGACTCTTTACTTTACATGTCTGAACTTATTAGATCTTCACAATGAGGGAGGAGCTCTTTTCAACCTCATTTTACAGATGAGTATACTCATACTGAATGAAGCCCAGAAGACGGTAAGTTTTGAGCCCAAGGTCGCACAGTTGGGAAGGGGTATGCCCAGGTTTCTACCTCTTAGAAACCTCTTCTAAACCTCTTCTGCCGCCTTAGGGCGGCATCTCACAGCTGACCCAGAAGGTGTGCATGCCTTCAAGGGACTGGTGAACAGTCTAGCAATCCTACAGAAACAGCAAGAATGGGCCCCAGAGTGAAGAGGTCTTATTTGGGGGGAACCTCACAGTAAAGAGTGCTTGAAGATCCCTGCTTTCCTGTTTCCTCCTTCCCCTGAGCTCCTGGCAATCCCTGAACCTTCTTTTGTTTCAGCCCTGATGTCTGCACCATTCCCCTCACCGACCGGACAGGGCTCACCTCCAGGTCCCCAGCTTCTCCCAGCTTGGGCCAGGCACACAGGAGACCCCAAGCGAGGAATAAATGTGCAAAATTCTCTCCTTGACTTTGAGCTTTTCTGTCTGCCTGTTTCTCTCCTGAGAAAAACCACCGGAAATACACAAGGAGTCCCGCTATCAGTGTATTGGGGCCTCCTGTTGGGTTTTCATTTCTCTCTCTGTCCGTGCTTCTCCCAACGTCTCTCCCTCGCCTTTTGAGTGTCTCCCCGTTCGCCGTTTCTCTGTCTCACCTTCTTCTCGGTCTCTGAAGTCTCTTCCCAGACTGGACCCCCACCCCCACCCCAGCGGCCGCGGGCGCGGCCCCTTTAAGACGGCCCCGCCCCCGCCCCGCCCCGCCCGCGCCGCCCCGCCC